CTTTGATTCACTATACAATCCACTTACACTTGCCAAACTTTGGGCTTATGGTGTTGAGGAAAGCAGTCTGCTATTGATGGACTCGTACTTCACAGACTGTTATCACAGGTCAAGCTAGGATCTGTAGTGAGTGAGTGGCAGATGGTGACCAGGGGGTGCCCACAGGGCTCTACAATTTGGACCTCTTATTTGGAACATCTTCCTAAATGATTAGACTTAAAGTGTTGATGTGAACTTGAACAGGTATGCAGATGACCACCAGTTTTATGCTAATGGCAGCACCCTCGCTGATGTGCATGATCATCTCGCTGTTTGTGCTGAGTTAGCATCGTCATGGTACAGAGCTAATTTTCTAAAGGGAAACTTGGACAAATACCAGACAAATTATGGCACTTCGTAGCAGAAAGGAGTCTATGGACAGTATTCTGATTAATAATCATGAAGTCAGATCCACTGAATGTCTCAAACTACTAGGTGTCTGTATTGATAAAAACAATCTTCGTTTTGATGAACATATAAATAGTATCTCTAAGAAGAGCAGCCAGTGGGAAGGTGTTCTCAAGAGGCTTAGGAACCTTACACCCACACAAACTAAGTTACAGTTATATGAGGCAGCTGTTCTCCCGTATTTAACCTACTGTCATCTCATGTGGCATTTTAGCCATGCTAGTGACTGTAGACGATTAGAGCATATCCAAGAAAGAGCATGTTAGGGCTATATATTGTGATAAACATTCCATCCTATGGTCAATTAATATCTTTGGCTGGGCTATCTACTCTACAAAACCTGTGACTACAGGACATAGCTATTCTCATGGATAAAATTAAAAACAACATGTGCCCTACACACATTAGCACTCTATTTGAACAGCCTGCCTTCACTATACCAAGATTTAACACAGTCTCCTTTGGAAAGCACTCGCTCAGGTATATGGGCCAAAGGTATGGAGCTTTGTTCCTAGTAAAGTGAAAGAAGCTTCCACATTGTCTTCTTTCAAATGTAACATCAGAAAAGTGGATCTTAGTATGCTATTATGATTAGGAGACAATAACTGCTCAAACTGCTCTCTTTGCAGTTCTTAATTTAATATGATTATAGATACATTTTTTTAACATATTGTATATACAGTGTACTTCTCCCAATTATTTCTTATTTGCACATACTGTATTTTTTTCCTTATTTCTTTTTTAATTAATTAATTTATTCTTTTAAACTTATTTTAGTGTCCCCACTCAGTGGTTCTACAGCGCTATTACAGTTTGACACTTAATTAAAGGTATCATCATCGTCAACGTTGTGACTTAAATAATGCCCAAAAAGGCAGTTGAATTAAAATCCTCGAATAGTCACGAGCTGTAAAGCAAGCACTGTTTATCGTATAAAACAAGTAGATTCCATGTTGGGGTGGGTCTGTTCAGTAATAGATCACAGAAGACATCAAAATGAATGATGAACAGACAACCGACGAGCTTAACATGGGTATTTCAAGCGAAATTTCTTATCATGATGGACCCGTTTTGTCAACATATTATTGCATTGATGGTGCAATACACTAGGATCATACAATACTTTTCTAGGCCTTTCTACCTCAGCCAATCGCTGACAAAGAAAGTGACTTAAGTTTTCTTTTAACCCCTTCAAATGATGCATTGATTGTTTTTCCTCCATGTAGCATTGTGCGAACTGGTCACAATGGCGGGAAGCATCTTCTTAGATGGATGCAAAAATTACTACGGGGTAGGGTGGTGATGGAACGAAAACCACACGTATCTTTCTAAAGCATATGTATTAAAAATATTCTTTATAGAAATATCTATAGCTATCTAAATAGGCCTATTTTTAAGTGAAATATTGAAAAAGTAACGATGTTAATGGCTTATAGAAAAATTGACAAATGTCCCACCAATTCCCCACAGCTGGGGCTGACAGGATGGCAAATGCCAGAAAAATGCCCAGCAAATGCCCCTGGGTTGAGGAAGGGCATACTTGGAATTGACTGAGCCGTTAACCTTATGGGAAGGTTTTAAATTTGTCTTAGATGTCAAGAAGTGATAACCGTGTGTCACGTGAAGAGTATGAAAAACTAGCAAGGGAGTTGGAGGTATGGAGAATAGTTTTCTTCCATAGAAATAATAAATTAAGTTAATGAAAGATGTAGCTATCAGGAGGAGAAAGAATTTTGTAATGATGAATTTTTGGGAGAGTGAGTCCACTAAAGAGAAGAAGGTAGAATGTTTAGAGTTTAGTTGAGTTTTTGAGACAGCAAGTAGAGCAATTTTGCAGAGGGGAAGAGATGACAAAACGTAGATGGTACCAAATCTTTAACCCCATATCTAACCATTAATTCTGAACTGCTTAAATCCAGGTTTTGTTAAGGACTAACTTTATCATCTAATGCAATCAATGGACACCTCTCTCTTTCAAACAGTTCTGTAGGTGCCAAAGATGGTCTAAACTTCATACGATGGACCCAATTTTTTAATACGGACACTTGTCCTGACCAGTGATGCTGATGGTGTACGTGTATTATATAAACTTGCATTAAATTTTGATCAGGTTATTTTGTGTGTGACAAAATCTTTTAATTCTCTAGGAAGAAAAACTTGAACATATAAGAACAAAAGCCAAACTTGCCAGTGAGAGTGAGAAGTTACAGTTTGCATTGGGAGAAATAGATATTTTAAACAAGCAAATTCAAAGAGAAAAAGTAACATTTGAGAATGCGTAAGTATCATTACTTTTTAAAAAATTCCAACAGTCTTTCAAACAAGGTTATAAGTACATGGTATGTGGATAATTAGATGGTATATTAAACGTGTTTGTTGTTTTTGTTTTTGGGAAGAAGGTAAACAAACTGTGCAATTTGCAAGACTAAACATTCCTACCTTTGTTCCCCATGGTACACACAAATCCTGGAATTACCAAGAGAGGTTGTGGGTGTTCAAACCAAAATTCCTGTCAGTGATTCTTCATTCTGACTTATAGTGCTCATGAAACTGCATAAATGCTTATTTAACTGCCATATGTTATGGAATTCCCTGAAATGCTGCAGACTGAAATGCATTTTTAGTTGTGGACCAGCTAAAAATTTCTTTTTGTGGAGGAGACTTAAAAAATTGATTTTTTTGGAAAAACTGAAAACTTGAAATGCATTTTAGTCATGGACCAGCTAAAATTTCATTTCTTGGAGGAGACTAAAATAATATAATATTGTTTGATATATTTGTTGTGATTCAGTGTTAACTTTGGTTCAAATTTTATTTCCCTTTGTTTTGGGGTATGGCAATGTATAATAAAGAGTTTAAAACAAAGGAAAATAGATTTAAACCAAGGATAAAATTGAACCACGACATATTTGAAAAATAAATAAATGAAGGTATTTTACTTAACAGGTAATTTTATTATGAATCTGCACTTACATGGTGTAATAGTTACCAACTTCCTGTGGCTTTATACTTTACTTGTAGTTGGTTAGAGTGCTGCGCTTCCCCCTGTCCCCCCCCCACACACACACTCACACACACACACACACACACCCCACTCACAATGAAATGGGTTCAAGCCCAAATTTTAAATTTTCCCCTTGTATAAACCTGGTCTTAATTTTTTCTTCTTTTTTTCCCATCATTTATATTAGGTATGGCCAAGTCAAAAGTAGAGCACTAGAAGAAAATCAAGAGAAAAAGGAGATCCAAACAAAATATCAAGGTTGGTTTGTGTTGTATGCTGGTATAATATTTTACCTGTGCTTGATTTAGGCATATTAATTTAATGACCTGTTCGTAACAGAGAAACATAACTGTGTAGTTATGCTAGTTTTCACAAAAACGTTTTTTCCTACCTATGGGGATTTCCTTTTAGTGCAATCTCCTATTTTTGGAAGACAATAAACAAGTGCCCTCACTACAGACAGTCTTCTTGGCACCAAAGATACCATTCCTCACACAACCCCTACCTCTATGATGTAGACACCTTTGCAAAGGACTGAGCTACAGATGAACCTCCATCAAGTGACCACCTACTGCGCAGCCACCCTCTGCTAAGCAGCCAGTAATCAAAGTAATGATGATAATGATAATAATAATAATAATAATAATAATAATAATAATGATAGTGACTGATAATAGTAATAATCATAACTATAAAAAAATTCTCAAATCTGATTGGTTATCAACTGCCCTGATTTCAACCTTAATTGGACAGTTTAATAGGACAGTATGTGTCATGCCTAAGTTATTGGACAGTATGCGCCATCATGTGTTCGCTTAAATGGCTTTTTTTTTCATTGCTGGCAAAAAAATCTTGGAATTTTTTGTGTTTTGATTTGAGAAAGAGCCTTATATGTCAAAAATTTTGTTAAAGTTATGATTAATTGGTAACAGAACTTTGTGTCGTCCAATTCAGTCTGTAATCATACTCGTGATTAAACAAATCGGACTCCTGCTACGCGGTCTTACGATTTTGTTAATCACTCGTATGATTACAGACGGAATTAGACTCTACTCAGTCCTGTTACCATTGCTAATAACTACAGTGAATTACCTCTATTAAGCAGACCCCAAATTTTTACAACCTCTTATTAAGCGGACACTTGGGAAGGTCCCGAAGGTGTCCGCTTAATAGAGGTTTCACTGTAATAGTATCAAGAGGATAATCAACAAGCAAAATGTGTCTGCAAAGAGTAGAATGCATGGAGTAGGCAATGAGACAGTTAGCCATATTGTATTGGAATGCAGGAAACTTGCTCAAAAGCAATTTATATCGATGTTGGAGGCATGACAAGGTGGGGCAGATGAATCATTCATTTGGGACCTATGTGGAAAGTTGGGTTATGACAGAATTATGAGCCACAAGCAGTGTATCAATCCCCTAAAGTAACAGCAAGCTGCCGTGGAACTTCAAAATACAGACTGACAACAAGATTGAACACAAGCCCGAGATTGTGGTACTGGATAAAACAGAACGCACGTGCCTGATTATTGATGTTGCTTGTCCTTTTGACATGCAAGTGAAAGACAAAGAGAAAGAGAAAATTGAGAACTACCAAGACCTGAAGCAGGAGTTGAAACGGATCTGGAAATTGTGCAGGGTAACTGTGGTGCCAATCATAATTGGTGCATTAGGAACTGTTTTGAAAGATCTAAAAAGTGGTTAGCAGAGATTGGTGTCACATCTCGTTTGGAATCTTTGCAGAGAGCATTCTTACTTGGTACAGCCAGAATCCTTCGCAAAGTCTTAGACACCTAAGGTCACAGGTGGTGACTTGATGTTTAAAATTGGGTTCAGCTAGAATCCTTCGCAAAGTCTTAGACACCTAAGGTCAAAGGTAGTGATGTTTAAGGAAGACTTCAGCAAGCCATCCAGAAGCTGTGTTTAATGCTGATATTAATAATAGCAATAATATTTATCCAGAAGTTTTCAGTGGGGTCCTGCGGCCCTGAAATAATTTTAAGAATAGAATTGTCACTTGATCAAAGTCCTGATGTAATAAATTGTAGAATAGAATTGTCACTTAAACCTCCATTAATAAGTAGCCACCCTGTACGAAAGCCATGGTTTGATTTTTTTTGTTGATGTTGCTTGTTTTGTTTTGTGAGAGGGGTTAATCATATAAACGTCTTTTTTGTTTTGCTTTTAGCAATGGAAGAGCTTTGTTCCAAGCAGGATGATATACTTACAACAAAAGATGCAAAAATTAAGGAACTCAAATGTCGCCTGGTGCATCAGAAACAAATTCACCAACAGCAACTTTCTGATCTGGACATTCATCGACAGCAAGAGCAATACATTAACTATAACACACAAAAAACTCAAGAAAAGAGTACAACTAAAAGGACACGTCAAAAAAGAGTGTCTTTCAGATAACAAATGCTAAATTATGAAGTGCAGTTACAGTCAGCTCTCTCTCTATGCACACCTCACTAAAATGAACACCAAGTGGTGGTCCCTACCTTTCGCAACTCCTTTTAGTTGACTCTCTTTGTGACAGACATCTCTCTAAGATGGACACATAGTGGCTGGTCCTAAAGGTGTCCATCTTAGAGACAGTTGACTGCATCGCATACCCTTTTCAATATTGTTATAAGTAGTAGGCTGTGGAGAACAGCCTTTATATCAATTTTATTGCAAAAGAGTGAATTTGATAGAAAATGTGCTTTTTAACTCTACAGAAGATCAGTCAAGATAAACAATTTCATATTAAATATCAATAGAAATAGAAAAGACTATAGGTATTTATTAATAAGGGCATAATTGTGTGCTTGTATAAAACGTACATGTACAAGAAATATTCCCCATGAGTGTGTTCATTAAATTATATAACACTGTAAAATATAATCATCTCATAGACCACTGTAGACAGTGTATATGTTGTAGTTAATTTTATAGGTAATATTTATTTTTCCTTTGCGTCAACTTCATTAGAATACATTACCATACCCAAAAACAAAAGTAAAACAAAAGTTACCTGGGATAAAAAATTAACTACAACATATGTATAAAATGGATACTATTCAATTTCTTGTGTAGATACCGGTATATATTTTTATGTCACTGACAAAAACGTTTTCTTTTCGTTGTCTTTCCTTTTTTTTTTTGAATAATAATTGATCAGACATGCCTGTGGAGTATACCTCTTTTTGTCTTCACTCGATCTCTCTTTATTTTTCTCTCACTCTGGTCATGCTAATATGGATATCACTAAGCTCCTCTTTACAGAACTAATACAGAGCTTTATATAAGGTATTTCATAAACAGATGTAGGTGATATAAAGGTAGGTGTTTCCTACAAGGGGTCTGAAACCCTGAACCTGTTTAAGGAAAATAGCACCAAAAGTTTTAGGTAATTTTTATCAGCTTAAATTCGAAAAATGAATCCCTATTGAACCAGTCATTTTTATTTCTTTTCTAGACATTGTATAAAGTTTTTATATCCGGTTATTGAGCTAGTATAGTTTAAGAAAAACCCCATCAAATGAGCCCAATGCCATTTGCTATTAAGAAGGCTAACCTATTTTAGGGCTGAGCACCCCGATGAACAAAATCGACATTATTTTTCTCCGCAATATATATTAGGAGAATACGGAGTACCTAACCCGAATTCCCCCACGTAAATAACAAACGCAACTCGTTATGTAAGCATATCGCTGCGTTTCAAAGTCATACCAAAAATTGGTAATAAAATAAAGTATTTACGTAAAAATAAAAAAAGGGTCCCTGGGGAAAGTCGGGATTTGAATCGTAACCCAAGGGGGCAATCTCCTTTTTATCGGAAGTTTTGAGTGGAGCTCGAAATACCTCATTGCGGGGTCTAATCGACGGCAGCTTAAGTCAGTTTAAAACTCTCATGATTGTTTCATTTGTCATCTTCGAGTGAAAGGGGGAGTGAACACGCTCGCATGCAATCTCACAGTAACGGAAATGTTGCCACCGGAAGTACTACTCAATGGCAAAGCATTTCTGGAATCACCAAGCGGAAGTAGAATTTGACCGGAAGTCAGCCTTAATCCTTGGCGCATGTTTGATGAAGAAGGAAAACGCTGACTCAAAATGACAACAACAATGGCGGTAAAAGTGTTGCTAGAAGTTTATCAAGTGTCCCTTCTTTTTACGAAGTGAACACTGATGTGACTTAACTATTTTTCGCTTTAATTATTTGTTCTCTATATCTGGTACAATTTGGAGAAGCCACGGAGAGAATTGCGTCTTCAGGAAAGTCATGAATCGCCCTGTTACTCGGGTACGTTTGTAGGCATCGGACCTGTTTAGTGTAGTTCCGTGTAAACTGTAATTGTGTTTGCTTCAGGCAGGGTATTTAATGCGTTGAATAAGACTTCAGTTAACTTGAGAGTCTAGCTATTATTTTCTTTTGTGTGTTTATTAGAAAAATGTCAATATCTCCCTTTTTGGTTTCGAGTTACCTTTCAAATTTTCAGGCTATTAAATGCAGGCGTTTATTACGCAAGTTTACATACTGTAGGAGTTGTTAGAACAGGTAATTCACATTATAATATGTTGAAACCTAGGAGATAGTTTGGGGTATTCCTCAACTTCTTTATACATTCATTTTTTCTGTTGAAGTGAAACAATGTGATAAATATGGTATCATGCTATAAGTTTGATAAGTATGACGATAAATCTATCACCATTCAGTTTGTCATTTTAAAACAGCTGTCGAAAAATATTGATTAAAAAATGCAACACTGACTCAACAGGGGCACATTACTGGATAAAATACACCTTATCATTAAAGTCATAGTCGAATTTTCACAGTTTTATCTCAATTAGTGTTCTCTCAATCTCTTATCCTTTGTTGAGATACAGTAGCGTTGAGAGATGATGATAACATGGGAAGTCAAATAGTTTGATGCAACATACCCTTTATGCAGTAAAGACATAGTCATGTTCAATGCAGAAAGAGTATAAAAAGAGACAAGGATAATATTATAGGAGGAGTCAAATGGTGTCAACATAATTCATAGGCTCGATTTCCACCGTCTCCCGGGTCCGGTCTTTGATCCTCCCCGAAGAGAGACGGCTGGACGCGTGACAGGTTGACCTTGTCTGTGACATAATTGGAAAATTGATAATTTACGCGTCTCTGATATCACTGGAAGTGAAACCGGTTTCCAATTTTCTTTCTTATTTGGCTCAAAATAAATTGCATCTATCGCTCCAGTGCCCACCCAAATGACTTTCGAAATAGTTTTTTGGTACATTTCTGTACACTGTGACATGCAGTTAACTTTCTTTGATCTTCGAATGGATCGAAAAAAAGGTCAAAGCGACGATGCTCCAAAAAAATTAGATGGAAAAGTTTGTGATTTACCAGAAAGAATTTCCAGTGTATTGAATGTTCCTCTGTCAAATATAAACGTGGGCAGTTACATCTGTAGCAAACGCAGTTATCGAGACCTAAAGCGCCTTGAAAAGATCCTTGAAGATGCAAAATCTCTCCAACAACAATCATTGAAGGAAGAGTTCACAACAAACAACCGAACAAAACGTTGTGTTCCTTCAGAACTTTAGAATTTTGCCTAATGTCTCCACAAGGTCGAAATCGCTATACCATGTGATGGATCAAGGAAGGACGTTTTGTTTTGATGTGATAATTTCTGCGACAATCTTTGCTAGACGAAAATCTGCAGGTGGCAACATGATTGGCTTAAACCAACAAAGGAAATGGCACGCGTCCAGCCGCTCTTTCGGGGGGGATGAGTGCGGGCTCATTTTCCCAAACAGCGTCTGGTAATCAAGCCTACATAATTCAAGAAAAAAATAAATTTTAAGAAAATGTTAAATGAGCTTTAACCACTCTCAATCCAAAGGGTGTCTCAGCGCTCTGGAAATCTAAGATCTGGAGACTCTCTTTTTTGCTCCCCCCCCTCCCCCTGAATATCATTAGGGAGTTTAAGATACAGAGACTACGGACTACGAACTACGGCTGGACGAGCGTTGTCCTTTGTTCGTAGCACTGGGTTGAGTCGTGCAAATATAGAACGTTAAGATTGCACTACAGACAGTAGACTACGACAGAAGAGGCGGAGAGGGAAACAACACACAAAGATTTTCTTGTTTTCATCACAGTTCACAAAAATGCAAGTCAATTTTGCATGTGATCTTATCTTTAGAACAATGAACAAATTCTTCCATACTTGAAGGAAGCAATTACGTCGGGTGAAATTGTAAACAAAGTTTGGGTTGCACAGGTTTTATTTTTTCACTGATTTTATGAATTAGGCTCTGGATCATGCCTTAACATGCTTGAGCCCAACATATATACTTTGTGGCAGGAAATTTATTGTTTGCAATAATTGCAAATTATTTTTAAGTTGCATGTGCTTGTAGTTCCATGTTGTAACTGAATAGAAAGTTCTTTATGTACTCTAAGGGGTGTAGTAAATACAGCAAAAAAGAGACCATTTCATATGTCTATTGGTCGCTTACAAGAGGTTAGAACTATGGAAAACTATAAAACCGTCGGGTCAAAACATGGTTGTGGCTGTTTATGAGAGGTTCTAGTATTATTATGGGGCTTTGACTAGAAATATTATGGTGTTGTAGAGTGGTTTTTTAGTATGAGAACTTGTAGCACATGGAGGTTTGACAATATAATTTTAGGAAAAGTCCAGATTCTGTGATTAAACCACATAGAATCAGTCGAGGATCCTACAATGTTTTTCTTCGATCTTTTAGGGGCTTAAACGAAAGAAGAGAGCTCCAGCAAATGTACCTGCTTCCTTGGACCAGCCATCAACTTCGTCTACCTCTTGTGAGGATCAAAATTCCCTTTTGCTGAGTACATGTAGTCCTCCAGATGAAATTTTTCCAATTCAGGTAACAACTTTTTTTAACCTCTTTCTTTGTGCGATGTGTCACTCAGTTTCCCAGTTACCTGATCTACACAATTAGTGGATAGAAATTTGGACACTCAGTTCTCAGGTGTTTTTGGCTCTATTTTCGGTCTGTTTCTTACAAAAGTAGCCTGTGGTCATGTTTGCAATAGCTGGGGGATATTTATGGACCCTGTCTTTTATGAAAGTCCTGTTGTGTGTTGTGGGTGTGGGTGTCATCCAGATTTTTCCTTTGTCCTATGTTACACATGTTACTCAAAACCTTAAAATCAGTAACATATGTGTAGGGCTCTCTGACTGTAGCTCAGTAGCTAGACCACTTGACTAGTGTTTGCAGTCTGGCCATAGGTTTGACTCTCACTGAAAATCTAGGTTTTTTCTTTATCCTCTGCTCGTGATGTTATGACTGACTGTTGACTGGCTAGACCAACAATTTTCAACTCTATTGGGTCAAGAGATCCCATATAACTATAGGGAAGTAACAGTCTTCTGTGTCTACATGTATGTTACAGGTCAAAAGTGAAAACTTCAGGTGAAAACTTTTTATCCTTGGTTGATTCTCAATTTCTTTTCTCTCGTAGCCTTAATTAACCATGCATCTTTTATAGTCCGGTGGCTTACTGCAAAATTTTGGCAAGATCTATACAGAGCGGACAAAAGCACCAAACTTTGCATGGTTGTAGCTTAGGGTATGTTAGTCAATATTAGGATCGGTGCCCACAGCTACCTCTTCAGGATTTGCAGCAACTGCTCGCTGAAGTTCTTTAACAACCTTCAATGACGGGTGCCCTGTGCCGAAAAGTACAATCACTTGTTTTTTGCCATTTTTGATGAAAATCACATAAAAAGGGAAGTAGATGGAAAAAGAAACTGTATTAATGCTATTATTATTGAAACCAATGACTAAGATAAGTCAACTTAATGATATAGCAATTATGATGTGCAATGGTGGGTGCCCTGTGCTAAAAAAATCAATCCTTTTTTTTTGCCATTATTTTGATGAAAATCACATGAAGGACATGAAAATAAAAAAGAAATTGTATTATTATTGAAATCAATGAAAAAAACAAGTCAACTAAATTGAAAATCCAAGGAAGATGTTTTCAGACGCGTGCTCAGTCCCAAATAGGCTTTCAAGGTGGCAGCTGTGTCTTTTCATGGACTGTAAGTATCTACTAGAATAAATTGCCGTTTTTTTAGGGGAAATTGTATACAATTTGAATCACGACAGGTTTGAGTGAATTTTAAGTTCTTCTTGGTGATAAATTTGTTATTGAAAGCCACATTTTCTCTTCACATTTTGTGCCGATTACGAATGACTATACTGAGTTTATTTTCGTACTGGTTAAAATTCATAATAGTAAAAATAGCTTCTTTCTATAGCGTTCATATCCTGAGCACATGGTGTTTTACAATGTTAAAGAGGAAACAAAATTATATCTCGAGCATGAAATAACATGTATTAAAATCTATTTGCAATTCACAAAGAACAAGAGAGGGAAACAAGAATTCATCTGTTTTAAAATTATTTTGCCTTTCAAGTTTATATATCATGATAATAAGTCGTGCAAAAAACTAAATATACATTCTACAAGTATAGGTATATGATCTGCAGATATTAAAGACGTTTTACAAAAGTACTGACTTACTCTCTAAAAATTGCGTAAAAAGATATGTTCTCAGTCCTTTCTTTCAACTGGCTAAAGATGGTGACTTGTGAAAATCTAGCTAATGGTAGTGAGTTTCACAGTTTAGGGGGGCACACTGAAAAAGTCTTTTCCCCGTGAGTTTTCGAGGTTGTTCTAAGAGCTGCTAAGATGCGGACCACAAGTTCCTGGAAGGCCTTCGATAACTGTCCGCTAGATAGCTAGGTGGAAGGGTATTAAGTGATTTGAAAACTGACAAAATAAGTTTAAAAACAACGTGATAACTAACAGGTGAGCCAGTGAAGGTCAAATAAATGATGTGTTCGCAAAGTTTACAAGTCCGAGTAACGATCCTAGGGGCAGTGTTCTGAACATATTATTAAAAAGTTCCTTCAAGTGCATTTTCCTACAACCATGGAGCAAAGAATTGCAATTAATAGTCTGTTTTAGATGTAATAAAAGCATGCACTGCAATTTCGCTAGACTCCTGTGTGAGACACTTTCTTATCTTTGATAAATTCCTGAGTTGGTGAAACGATAATTCTACAAAAGAATGCTGAGATGTGTGCGTCAAACAGCAAGTTGTCATCAAATACTACTCCCAGGCTTTGTTGGTGGTGGTTCTTAGCCTTGCATTACCCATAATGATGTTGCTAAAGGGTGGACGAGTACGGTACATCGACAAGATAAGCATAATTTCAGTCTTATCATGATTGAGTTTAAACTAGTTTCTACACACCAAGATGGAAATCAGTTGGAATCGTTGTCATATTTACCTAGGGTGAGAATCGAAAAGAGAAGATCTGAGAAACCCATTAATTTAACGGAACAATTATTTATAGAACGCTCCTTGACAATTTACTAGAATTCAAGAAAGAGGACTGTGCCGTCTTGTTGCAATTAAGTTTCATATTGAAATCACTACAGTAGTAAACACGTTACTGAAGTGCAAAGTGGCATCAATCCTGTCACCTTACGTCCAAGTTAGAAAAAGCAAACTAGAAAAGAGAAAAAAGCATGTTGAAGCAGATCAGAAACAGCCAGTTGGAGATTGTGGCACCAAACGAGCTTGTAAGACTGACACTATAGCGGGACTGCAAAGTGTGTGCCTCTGTTTGTAACGAATACAGCTTAATATGAAGTTCGGCAAGTATAAAGAAATGTGTATCATTGTCCACTGCATTTGCTCTGTACTCAGTGAGTTCAACAAATGCTCTTGATTTATCTAATTTCTCGTCTTCCTCGACCTTCCAAGCTGCTCCACTTTTCTTCTTGCGTTCCTCTGACATGTATGCCTATTTCGCACTTCAGCCTTTTTAGTACATTTTCAAGGAGCGTTCTATAAATTAATGCTTGTACTGTTAAACCAGTGGGCTTCTCAAATCTTCTTTTGTTGATTCTTGGCAAATATAACATCGATCCCAGTTAATATCCATCCTGGTGTGTAGAAAACATCTCAGCTTCAGAAACCTTTAACTAACCAGTAAGTCAATAAACTCAGTATAGTCATTCATAATCGGCACAAAATATGAAGCGAAAATGTAGCTTTCGATAACAAATTTATCCCCAAGAAGAGCTGAAAACTTCACTTAAACCTGTCGTGATTCAAATTGTGCACAATTTCCCCTAAAAAATGGCAATTTATTATAGGAGATACTTACAGTCCATGAAAAGACACCTTGAAGCCGCCATCTTGAAAGGCTATTTGGGACTGAGTACACCTCTGAAGACATCTTCCTTGGATTTTCCGTTTAGTTGACTTGTTTTTACATTGGTTTCAATAATAATACAATTTCTTTTTTTATTTTCTTGTCTTTCAAGTGATTTTCATCAAAATAATGGCAAAAATCAAGGAATTGATATTTGTAGCACAGGATACCCACCATGGTATATCATAATTGCTATATCATTAAGTTCACTTGTTTTAGTCATTGGTTTCAATAATAATAGCATTAATACAGTTTCTTTTTCCATCTACTTCCCTTTTTATGTGATTTTCATCAAAAAACAAGTGATTGTACTTTTCGGCACAGGCCACCCATCATGGAAGGTTGTTGAAGAAATTCAGCGAGCAGTTCCTGCAAATCCTGAAGAGGTAGCTGTGGGCACCGATCCTAATATTGACTAACATGCCCTAAGCTACAACCATGCAAAGTTTGGTGCTTTTGTCCACTCTGTATAGATCTGAGCCTTTAACCACCTGACTATTATGGAGTTGTGAAATTAGGTGGGGGTTGCACTCAGCATGGAGCTTAAAAAGCCTAAAAGCCATTTGCACAAATCCCCTCTCTGCAAAAATGTATTCTTTAAGCTGGTCCAAAACATTCCTTTTTTTTTATTTCTTTCTTTTATGATGCCATTGTTATTTCTCTTTCATAAGGAGGAAACAGATTGTCTTGTGCCTGTAAACAAAAGAAGTAGGGTGGATGATGTCAATGAAGAGAGTCCCCAAGGAAGCACAACAAGTGAATCAGCAGCTACTGTAAACCCTCCTACAACACCAGACTCTCAAGAAAATAAAAGAGGAAAAAATGATAATAACAATGAACAGCAGAGTTCTGTAAGAAATGGAACAGACAGTGAACCAATTACTATAGAATCACCTGGACCCACAACAAGTCACTCCCTAGATGACGTCATGATTGTTGGTGATGTGCAAGTTGGAAGACCAGAAGTTATAGATTTAGAAAGACTTCCAACCATAAGACAAGGTAATAGCAAGTTAGTATGGCCAGTAGACCCCTTTTAGGCATTGATACATGCACGTAATTTTCTTTGCCATATTCTTCTACTTGTATGTGAGATAGGTCCACTTTTAATAGAAACAAAAAGTATTAATAATGGATGGTATAACAACTAATGTCTTTCTTGTGGACGTATTTACCCTCGGCATTATTTATAGCTCTAATGCTGGTGGAGCCAAGTAAATGCCTGAAACAAATAATTTAAATCAAGCTTAACAGGGTTGAGAATCCCAACTGGCCTGAGGCAAACCTGTTGA